TTCAGTTGGGTTGGTTTGGTTTGGTTGGGTTGGTTTGGTTGAGTTGGGTTGAGTTGGGTTCAGTTGGGTTGGGTTGGGTTGGGTTGGGTTGGGTTGTGTTGTGTTGGGTTGGTTGAGTTGTGTTGGGTTGGGTTGGGTTGGGTTGGGTTGTGTTGTGTTGGGTTGGTTGGGTTCAGTTGGGTTGGTTTGGTTTGGTTGGTTGGGTTGGGTTCTGTTGGGTTGGGTTGGGTTGGGTTGGGTTGGGTTCTGTTGGGTTGGGTTGGTTGGGGTTCAGTTGAGTCGGGTCGGGTTTGGAATTGGGCTGGGATTTGAGATCCCTGATCCCAACGTTCCCGATCCCATTCCCAATCCCAACCCTGATCCCATCCCTGATCCCAACGTTCCCGATCCCAACCCTGATCCCATTCCCGATCCCAACATTCCCAATCCCGTTATCCCTGATCCTGATCCTGATATTCCCAACATTCCCAACATTCCCGACGTTCCCGCTGCAGGGGTGCAGATGTTCGCGTCCAACCGGGAGCAGTTTGGGTTCCTGCTGGTGCCGCTCCTGTCCCTGATCCCATTCCCGATCCCGATCCTGTTATCCCTGATCCCATTCCCGACATTCCCGACATTCCTAATCCCGACATTCCCGACATTCCCGCTCCCATTCCAGGGGTGCAGATGTTCGTGTCCAACCGGGAGCAGTTCGGGTTCCTGCCGGTGCCGCTCCTGTCCCTGATCCCATTCCCGATCCCGATCCCGTTATCCCTGATCCCGTTCCCGATCCCAATCCCGTTATCCCTGATCCCAATCCCGACATTCCCGACATTCCCGCTCCCATTCCAGGGGTGCAGATGTTCGTGTCCAACCGGGAGCAGTTCGGGTTCCTGCCGGTGCCGCTGCGCTCCCAGAGCTCCCTGCGGGACGAGGCCGAGAACTTCCTGCACGTCCAGCTGGAGATCATGGGTGAGATCCCGGCGGATCCCGGGATCCCCGGGGCCTCGGGATCATCCCAAAGATCCGGGGCCTCGGGATCCAGGGGCAGGAGAAGGATCCAAATGGATCCAAATTGATCCCAAAGGATCCAGAGCCTTGGGATTGGAGAAGGGAAATCCAAAAGGATCCCAAGGGATCCCAAGGGATCCAGGGCTTTTGGATCATCCCAAAGATCCGGAGCCTTGGGATCCAGGGACAGGAGAAGGATCCCAAGGGATCCAAATGGATCCAAATGGATCCAGGGCCTTGGGATTGGAGAAGGGAAGGATCCCAAAGGATCCCAAAGGATCCCAAAGGATCCAGGCCCTTGGGATTGGGGGAGGGAGGAGGATCCCAATGGATCGAGGGATTTGGGATTGGGGGAGGGAAGGATCCCAAAGGATCCTCAGGGATCCAGGGCTTTGGGATCATCCCATTGGATCCAGAGATTTGGGATCACGGGGAGGGAAGGATCCCAATGGATCCCAAAGGATCCCAACAGATCCAAAGGATCCAGGGCTTTGGGATAATCCCAGAGGATCCAGGAATTTTATTTGGGCTCATTCCCGTGGGATTTGGGCTCATTCCCGTGGGATTTGGGCTCATTCCCGTGGGATTTGGGCTCATTCCCACGGGATTTGGGCTCATTCCCACGGGATTGGGGCTCATTCCCATGGGATTTGGGCTCATTCCCACGGGATTTGGGCTCATTCCCACGGGATTTGGGCTCATTCCCGTGGGATTTGGGCTCATTCCCGTGGGATTTGGGGCTCATTCCCATGGAATTTGGGCCCATTCCCACGGGATTTTCCCGTTCCCACAGTGAAGCTCCCTCCGGCCGAGCCCTCCCCCCACGTGTGGGTCCCTCCCAAGGTCTTGGACAAACTGGGATTCGATGAGGTGGGAGCCCCTCCCTCGGAATTCCGGCCTCTCCCTCGGGATTTGGGGCCTTTTCCCGCCTTTGTTTGGGATTTTGGATCATCTTCCTCCTTTTCCTTGGGAGTTTGGGTGAATTTCCCCTATTCCCCTTGGATTTTCAGTGAATCCCCCCAAATCTCCCCATTTCCCCCAGGATTTTGGGTGAATTTCCCTGGATTTCGGTTGAATCCCCCAAAATCTCCCCATTTCCCCCCGGATTTTGGGGGAATCCCCCCAGATCTCCCCATTTCCCCCAGATTTTGGGTGAATCCTCCCGGATTTTGGGGGAATCCCCCCAAATCTCCCCCTTCCCGCCGGATCTTTCCCGATTTCCCCATTTTCCCCCCAGATTTCGGGTGAATCCCCCCAAAAGTCCCCATTTTCCCCCCGGATTTCGGGTGAATCCCCCCAAATCTCCCCATTCAAATCTCTCCATTCCCCCCGGATCTTTCCCGATATTCCCCCCGGATTTTGGGTGAATCCCCCCAGACCTCCCCATCCCCCCGGATCTTTCCCGATTTTCCGGGTTTTCCCCGTTCCCAGGTGTTCCTGATCAACCTTTTTCCCCCCAGATTTCGGGTGAATCCCCCCAAACCTCCCCATTTCTCCTCAGATTTCCCCGTTTTCCCTCTGGATTTTGGGTGAATCCCCCAAAACTTCCCATTCCTCCCCGGATTTCGGGTGAATCCCCCCAAACCTCCCCATTTCTCCTCAGATTTCCCCATTTTCCCCCCAAATTTCGGGTGAATCCCCCCAAAACTCCCCATTTTCCCCCCGGATTTTGGGTGATTCCCCCCAAACCTCCCCATTTCTCCTCAGATTTCCCCATTTTCCCCCCAAATTTCGGGTAAATCCCCCCAAAACTCCCCATTTTCCCCCAGATTTCGGGTGAATCCCCCCAAATCTCCCCGTTTCTCCTCAGATTTCCCCGTTTTCCCCCCGGATTTCGGGTGAATCCCCCCAGACCTCCCCATCCCCCCGGATCTTTCCCGATTTTCCGGGTTTCCCCCGTTCCCAGGTGTTCCTGATCAACCTGCGGCGCCGGCCGGACCGCCGGGCGCGGATGCTGCGCACGCTGCAGGAACTGGGGGTCTCCCCCAAGCTGGTGGAGGCCGTGGACGGCCGGTGAGCCCCGGGGGGGGTCGGGAATTCCCGGAACCTGCCCCGGATCCCCCCGGAATTCCCTTCCGGAACGTTCCGGGCTCCGCAGGGCCCTGAACAGCAGCCAGGCGGAGGCGCTGGGGGTGCGGATGCTGCCGGGCTACCGGGACCCCTTCCACGGGAGACCCCTGACCCGCGGCGAGGTCGGCTGCTTCCTCAGCCACTTCCGCGTCTGGCAGGAGGTGAGCCCGGAATTCCGGAATTTGGGGTGGGAATTCGGGAATTTGGGGGGTCTGGAAGGATCCAGAGGGTCCATGGGGGTCAGGGGAATTTGGGGACATTCAGGGAATTCCAAAGTAGCTGCTGCTTCCTCAGCCACTTCCGCGTCTGGCACGAGGTGAGCCCGGAATTTGGGAATTCTGGGGTGGGAATTCGGGAATTTGGGGGGTCAGTAAGGATCCAGAGGGTCCATTGGGTCAGGGGAATTTGGGGACATTCAGGGAATTCCCAAGGAGTTGCTGCTTCCTCAGCCACTTCCGCGTCTGGCAGGAGGTGAGCCCGGAATTCGGGAATTTTGGGGTGGAAATTCGGGAATTTTGGGGTGGAAATTCGGGAATTTGGGGGGTCAGGAAGGATCCAGAGGGTCCATTGGGTCAGGGAGTCCAGGGCAGTTCAGGGAATTCCAAAGGAGCTGCTGTTTCCTCAGCCACTTCCGCGTCTGGCAGGAGGTGAGACCGGAATTCGGGAATTCTGGGGTGGGAATTCGGGAATTTGGGGGGTCTGGGATGGAATTTGGGGTCCAGGGAGTTCAGGGAATTCCCAAGGGTGGGAGGGAGTTGCGAGTTGCTGCTTCCTCAGCCACTTCTGCATCTGGCAGGAGGTGAGCCCGGAATTCGGGAATTTTGGGAGTTTGGGATGGGGATTTGGGAATTTGGGGGTTCAGGAAGGATCCAGCGGGACCAGGGAATTCAGGGAATTCCAGAGGGTGGTGCTCCTTGGGGTCCATCCCAAATCCTGGAATTCCAGAGGGTGGGTGGTGATTCC